CCCCACCCCCCCCAGGCTAGGCCGAGGCCTGGGGGTGGGCATTGGCCGATATAAGGGAAAAGGTTTCCCTGAGGCCTCCAACATGGAGGAGGTCTGAGAGATGGGAAGGAGGAAAATAACCTGGACCAGTGCAGGCTCTTGAAGCATCCTGGAACCATGTGGGCTTCAGAGCATGGTCGTTATCTTTCTGGACTGAGAATCCGCATCCACCTGGACTGTCTGGTACATCAGTGGTTATCTGATGTGGTCGGGTGTGTCATCAATAGTTCTCACAGGTGGATCTGCATTGCTACTTTTACAAGATCCGGTGAGTCTGGAGCTTCTGATGGTTACCCCTAGACACCTAGAACCCCTATACCCTCTCCCCCACACAAGATGTTCAATAAAATGTTCAACTATCATACTACTGAAGTGGATGTCAATTTATGGGCACCAGAAGAAGGCGGTGGGTGCTAATGGGCGCAGCTGGAAATCAACCCCTAGACTGACTAGGTGGACCGGGCAAACAGCGGCTCCTTACGGGGAGTTATTACTACAGGTTGAAAAGGAGAAACTTAAAGGATAACAAAGTATAGGCAATCATCAGAAGCATTATCAGGTGCATCAATACCAGCAAAATGGTATACAGTATATATACATGAGCTGGTTGGAAGAATAGCAGTCAGGGAGGAGAATTGATGTATCTGATCTCTTAGCAATGGCTGATGTATCTGATCTTCTAGAGCGGCAAGTGTTGGCTTATTAGAGTTCATCATCAAAGTACTCCAAAACCAAGATGTGGTGCATTGGCAGGACGTCTGTTGAAGATGCCACTAAGGTTCCAGAGAAATGCACACCACAGCGCTCAGCAGACTCCCAATGATATTCTCCACCAACAATCGTTTGCAGGCTGCCGTCATCAAAAGGCCACTGGGGAGTATTCCTCACAAAACATGCAAAACAAACAGAAAACGCCTGACCCCTGCACAGCCCACCATAGACCCCTGCACAGCCCACCATAGACCCCTGCACAGCCCACCATAGACCCCTGCACAGCCCACCATAGACCCCTGCACAGCCCACCATAGACCCC